CGTTACACCTCCCCCCTGGCAGATCCGAATATTCCACTATGTATGTTTTACCGCAGTTTATTGTTAGTTCGCTACATTTATTCGCGGATCCGGAATTCTCCGTTGCGGAGACGCTTCACGACGACGGTTCGTCCAGCCGTGCGGTGGCGGTAGCGTTGGCCCGGGCGGATGCGTGCCCACGGGACGCCGTCCAGGGGTCCGCTGGGCTCCTCGACTCGCCGCCCGGTGAAGTACCCGTATCCGGGTGGGGGCCCTGGTGCTGGTGGCTCGGCCCTGGGTGCTGGCGAGGCGGCTGGTGTCGGCGGAGGCGTCGGTAGGCTCGTCGTGACCGGTGCGGCCGGTGGTGTTGGCGGCGTGGTGCGGTCCTCCGTCCTTGCGTTGGTCCGTGTCTCCGGTGACGGCTCGTCGTCGATGTCGGATAGCGATCCGAACAGCGCCTCGAGTTCGGCGGCGAGGGCGGTGGTCGCCTGCGCCGCGGTGTCGTACAGCAGCTCCTGCCTCGACCGGACTGTTCGGTGGCGTGCGACGGCCGGGGCTCTGCCTCGGCTCTCTATACTAATAGAGGCGCGGGCGGTTCGTGGTCGGGCCTCGGCGGGCGGCACGTACCGTGGGGTCTGCAGCGTCATCCCCAGAGGCGGTGTACGGACGGTTGCTCTGGCTCTCGGGACGGCTCCCTCGATCTGCTTTCTGAGTTTCCCCATTTCGCTAACGATTGCTTCTGTTCTCCTCGGTCCGTGTTCCCTTATATATATCCGCTTTGGTGTTTTGGTTTTAGGAGTCCGCGACACCCTTCAAATCCTTCACATGCGCGGTTCTTACCAGGCGGTTGTTTTGGTCTCGCAGGCGGTAGACGACCGGTGATATTGCTCGGTCGACGGTATACGGGCCGGAGTATTTCGGCGCAAGTTTTCCCGCGAAGTGTTCGCCGGCCTTTGACAGCGGGTGTTCCCGTCTCACAACTTGGTCTCCAGGTGCGGGGCGCCAGTCTTGGCGTCGAAGATTGTAGTATTGTTCCTGGCGTGATGTGGCGTCCCGTTGGCGCGCGGCTGCGGTTGCGGCTTCCTCGCGCATTTGATCTATTCGGTGTTCGCGCGTCGCGGTTTCGGGTTCCCCGATGTCTTCGGCCAGTGGCGCTTCGTGCTGCGCGCGCAGTGTCCCCGGGGCGGTAAGTTCGCGGCCGTACGTCAGCCTGGCCGGCGTGAATCCGGTACTTTCCTGTACCGCTGTGTTAATTGCGAATACTAGCTCGGGTAGTTTTTGGTCCCACCGGCGGTGATCTCGTTCGATGTACTGGGCGACCATGGTTTTCAACGTTCGGTTGGCTCGTTCCACTGGATTGCAATGCGGCGAGTACGGAGGCGTTCGTCGGTGTTGAATGCCGGCCCGTTCGAGTAGCCCTCGAAATTCCCGGCTCTCGAATTGACGGCCGTTGTCTGTTATTATCCGTCTCGGGCAGCCGTGTTGCAGCAAGATGTGTTCCTTGACGCTTTTGGTGATTGCGACTGCGGTGGCTTGTCGTAGTGGCTTGGCGATGACCCATTTCGTGAAGACGTCTTGCGCCACGAATATCCACGCGTGTCCCTCTACAGAACGAGGTAGCGGTCCGACGAGGTCGATCGCTATGACGGTGGCTGGTCCCTCTACTCGATGGTGGTGCATTAGTCCCGCGGTTTGTCGTTGTTGTACCTTGTGTAGTCGGCAGTTGGTACATCGTCTGACGTAGTTGGCCGCTTCTCTCGTCATGCCTGGCCAATAATAAT